AAAAAAAAAAAAAAAATTATGGTATTAAATAAGATGATTTAATAATACTTGTTAAAGCAAAGTAAGGAAGACTTTTTTCAGGACCATCAATGATAGATACAGGGACCAGTGTAATGGGGTCTTGCAGTAGAGACAACAGATTGGCCTCAACTTCGAATATAAGTGAGAATTCATAGGCAAGGAGCTATGTGGAGGTCAATGGACTGAATATTACTAAGAGGAAACAAGGGGAATTTTGGCTAAATCAACCTAATAGGATTCTTTTTGAAGACAGACTAGGGAGATCAGACGTCATGGATAGTGAAGGATGAGGCACCTGATCATATAACAAGGTTGATGAAATATCAAGGATGGGGGAGTTCTTGCTGAATGAACTTAGCAGTGTTCCTTGCTAAAAGTAGGTTTTACAAAGAAGTACACGGATGGGCATAGGAGAAGGTTCAGAAGCCTGACTAAGGTTTGGCCAGGCAAAGAGTTTTTGTCAGCAGGTTAGTAATAACGTTTTACCAATCATGGCTCCATCATCTGTCTCTCCAGAGGTTAGCTATTCTTATGAGCCTAGTGGTTTATCTTCCAGATCTTTTACTATATTTTCATATACTATGTACATGCATATCCATAGAAAGTATATAGTATTGTTTTGTGTGTACATGTGTATATGCCTGTGTGTTCATGTTGAATTCCTCAATTTGTTTTTTCTTAGCAGTGGGCCTTGGAGATTTCTCCATAGGAGTGAATACAAATCTCCCTTATTCCTTCTACTTTCTACATAACATTCCACAATCTGAATAGCCATTTGCCTACTGATAACATGTAAGTCATTTGTAATTGTTGCTATCACATACAATGCTATAATGATCATCCTTTTTGTGCATACATGCAAATGTTACTCTGAGACATACTGAGAAAGAGTATTGCTGGGTCATAGTTTGCAAACATGGAATGAATACTGCCAAGTTATCTTCCCAAATGAATGTACCAGTTTACACTCTTAACAGCAGTATATGAAAATATTTTTTCCCCAAATATATGCCCTTACTTCATGTTGCCAAACTTGTAAATCTTGGCCAATCTGACTGGCAAAAAATAATACCTAATTGCTTTACTTTGCCTTTCCATTATTGGTGAGACTGAATATTCTTCTGAATGTTTATTGGTGATTTGTTGTTTATGAGTTTGCCTGTTCTTCTATCAAACTTTTTGTATTTTGCAAAATGATTGTTAGATGGTCTTTATGTATCCTAGATCTTAATAATTTGGCATAAAATGTTGCAAATATTTTCCTCAACTTTACAGCTTACATATTAACTTAGTGCTATACTTTTCCCCCCAGTGGCTTTAAATTATGCATTTTACTTAACATCTTTTCTGAATCAAGGTCATAAAGGCTTCTCCTGTATTTTCTTCTGCTACTTTTTGATTCTCTTTAGATTTGGAATTTATATTTGTGAATGATAAAAATTGTGGATTCTAATCTGATATTGTCAGTGGTAACCAATTTTCACTTTAAAAACATGACATAGGAGATATTTACAAAATAGAGCATATTATTTACATACATAGGATATAGTCCACATATGTTATGATCTGAGTTTCATCAGTCCGGTTATCTGGTCCTTAATTTGTCAGTGATTTATTGAGCAGCTACTATTGCAAAACACAGTGGTAGGTATGTGGAACAGAGTGGAGAATAAGAAAGATACTGCTGGTGCAGTGGCTCACACCTGTAATCCCAGCTATTTAGGGGGCTGAGAGGAGAGGATCACTTGAACCTAGGAGTTTGAGGCTGCAGACAGCTGTGATTGTGATAGCCTGAGCAACAAAATGAGACCCTGTCTCTTAAACAAACAAACAAACAAAATATGTAGTATCTGTTGTCGCTGAGCTAATGTTTAAGTAGTGTTTGTGTGTGTGTATGTGACATGAAGGAGTTTGGGAGAAAGAAACAAGACGTTAAATAATTTACACAATAAATTAACAGTGGTTATTTAATTATGATTAATTAAATTAATTACAATTATTGTAGGTTCTCCAAAGGGGAAATATAGTGTGTCATGAGAACTTGTAACTGAAAGTCCTAATCCTGGTGGTGATGCTGTTGGGTGATTGGGGAAAGATTCCTTTTCTTTTTTTTTTCTTGAGTTGGAGTCTCACTCCTTTGACCAGGCTTGAGTGCAGTGGCACGCCCGCTCACAGCCACTTCAGCATTGACCTTCTGGGTTCCAGCGATCCTTCCACCTCAGCCTTCCAAGTAGCCGGAACTACAGAGGCGCGTCACCATGCCTGGCTATTTTTTATTTTATTGTAGAGATGAGGTCTTGCCAAGTTGCCCGGGCTGGTCTCGAACCTGCAGACTCAGGTAATCCACTCGCCTCGGCCTCCCAAAGTGCTGGGATTACAGGCTGAGCCATCTAGCCCGGCAGCTTTCTTGAGCAGTAACATTTGAGCTGAGTCTGTAGGATGCCTAAGCAGACTGAGATTGGGGGTGGGGTGGCAGATGGGATGAATATGAAAGAACACTTGAAGTTATGGGAAATAGTGTATGCAAGTGTCCTGAGATGGGAAGAAACTTGTTGTACTGGAGAAATTGAAAGAAGACATGTGGCTGAGGTCAGAGAGCATTAGAGAAATGTATGAGGTCGAATATTGTGGATGAGGAGGGGATCTGATAGACTAAGGGTCTTATTGACCAAATTAACTGCTAAAGTTAATGGGAAGCCATAGGAGATTTTTAATTAATCAGATAACATGATTAGATATGCAGTTTTATAAGGTCCTTCTGGCCTCCAAGGAAAATGGAGGGGACCAAGAATGGATGTGAAGAGATAATTTGGGAAGCTATTACTGTAGGTCAGGTACTTGAACTAGGTCAGGTACTAAAGTAATAGTAGTAGAGATGGAGCACATTGGGCTATTTCTTTAAAA